GGAGGGTTCAGAACAAAAGCAGATTTCTCGTAACCCTAAGGCCCAGGTTGTTCAACGATTATCGAAAGCAATAGAATTGCTGAAGGAAAAGTTTGGAAGAGGTAACTACAATTAAATGTTATTTAAATTTTACATTGTATTTAATTTGCGACCTGTAGGTCATGTGGTTTTTACTTGCAAATATTACGGCAGCTACGCGCTTTGCTTGGAATTGGCTAAACTCGGAACCTATTGCTCGGGGTTTTTAGATAAAAATTGTTTTGGGAATAGCAAAGAATTGGTACTACAAAATTTAGAACAATATCAATTTGAAACCAGATATGCTGGCTATGTAATGATGGGCAAGAGTCGAAGACTCCGGAAAAATGTATATTTTTATAGTTCCGACTGTCTCGCTATTTACCGTAATGAAATGATCATGAGCCATCAGCTGAAATTAGTGAAAGAGATCAACTGGCAATTAGGCACTCCCGTGGAAATGCGTGCGGCTATGCTGGACTACCAATTACCTTTGGAACGCACGGAAATCAAGTGGGACAGACGGTTGATGATCTATGTCATACACCTGGTTTTACTCAACGCTTACTTACTCTATCAAAGCCATAATCAAAACAATCGGTCTACGAATAAACTGCCGATGTTTTTCAAACAGTTTCGGCAAGGAATTATTGCGTCGCTAGTACATCCAGATGAAAGTGGAAATATTGACAAGAAAAGTCCTGCAAATGAAAATCTGATAGATACTGCCACAACAATAAACAACTCAGAGTGCGATCCAAATCTGCATATACCGAGTCAACTGGATTTAAAAAAAGCAACACACCGTCCAATGGAAATACCATGTTCCAAGGGAAAATTAGTAAAGAAGCGTTGTAGAATTTGTTTTAAGACAGGTCTTTTGATTTTTTCACAATTTTGTTGTGCTGAATGCCCCGGCATGCCGGGACTGTGCGAAAAGCCTTGTTTCAAATTATGGCATGAATATATTGAATGAAAATGGCTACCGTGTGTGAAGAGTTGTGCAAGAGAGAGGATACAAATTAATAAATCGCTATAAATTATCTATTTGGTAAAAGTTTAAATTTTTTCAATTTAATACGCTAATTAGAGAAGGATGGTTTCAACGTAAGAAAAATCTTTGTTTACCAAAAAAAGCGGTTTCGATATTCACCCTCATTGCGAGCGTCGAATGCAAGTCGTTTTTCGAGAGTCGAATCGTATCGAAAATTTCACCNCGTTTTAACGTAAGAAAAATCTTTGTTTACCAAAAAAAAAGCTGTTTCGATATTCACCCTCATTGCGAGTGTCGAATGCAAGTCGTTTTTCGAGAGTCGAATCGTATCGAAAATTTCACCTAAAATTTTGCCTAAAATTTCCACTCGACTAGTGTATTAAAACCGAAAAACTTGGCAGCACTGTATAGTTTTCGACGATTTTGGTCGTTTACTTATTTCAGTTCGACAATAGACAATGTGACTGTTGTCGAGTCGTACAACATAGTCAGATTTACGACCTACGCAATGTGGCTGATTGTTTGGGAACTACAAATGTGAGAAATTCGATTTTTGCCTTCTCCAACAGTGAAATTCAGAAGCAGAAAATCGAAGTAACAATTTAATAAATACGAATATCTTACCTTGAGCATGCTTTTGACGCAGTTTGTTCAAAATATTAGTGGCATCGAAGCCGGCGTTGTCGCACAGTTGACGTGGAATCACCTCCAGAGCTTTGGCAATGGCAGCAATCAGCAGCTGTTCCTTTCCAGCGATGGTTCGCGAATAGTCCCGGAGAATTTTCGAGAGCTCCATTTCGATGGCGCCACCACCTAAAAATTTAA